ACCAAATAGTGTCTTTTCCTCCTGTTTCCACTTGATCAAAACGGAATAGTCCATTATTTATGAGGTATTAGCGTGGCGTAACATTTCGGCGAGGAAACTAACAAGCACAATTATTATATGATAATTGCATTTCTTAATAAATACAATAATTAAACAAATGTTTTACGTTATTCACATACCAGGTGTAACAGCAAAATTGTCCAAATCATGTAACAGAAAAATTGTCGAGTTGCTAGATTAAAATCTGAAAATCTTAGAAATGATAGAAGATATCTTACTGGAATCCTCGGACGTTTTTATAATAATATTGGACTTTACTTTGACCAAAAAGGACTCATAATTACTCTCCAAGCTTAACAGAAGAATCGAGATGAAATCAATCATAAACGAAAATGACATGTTCATCATTAATTAATCATAGCTAAGGATCGGAAGCTCCCGAAGGATTGAAATTAAGTTCAAATATATATATATATATATATATATATATATATATAATTCAAGGATCATTTTCCAACTTAGTTAAAATGATCATTGCCCCCTCTAACTTTTTTACTTTCTTTCCTGGAGTAACAAGTTGCCTCACAAGTTTCACGTACGATTTCATTTTCAACTCTTTTTTCACTGGTCTTTGTACTGTCATAGCTGAAACTACTCTCTCACGTACCAAAAGTCTTATTGATTGAGTCGGATCTTTTCTAATTGATCTCTTTAGCTCTAAGTTGAAATAATGATCCTTCTTCCTGTAAGTGAATGTAATGGATTCGACTGGAATTCGATTCCTCAATCCAAGCCGCTATCCACTGCTCCACCGTGCCTCCTCTACATATATATATATATATATATATATATATATATATATATATATATATATGGCATTTTTTACATATATATATATATATATATATATGCAATTTTATATATATTATTTATATATTATATATGCGCAGTAGTTTGTCTGACGATCGCAAAGAACGTGAAACCCAGAGTCACAAACTCACATCAATACAACTATATATATATATTTGTCATGTTGAATTGATAATGTTAATTATATTTTATGAATATGTCTTGAAGATGGTTTATTAGACCGAAACGTCCGACGCTGACATATTAACATTAAAACAGCATAATTGTATATAAGGATTTTTGTTTGTTTTTTCCGTATATTTTTCTTCATATATATATATATATATATATATATATATATATATATAATCGTTCTATCAACCTATTAGTTTCATACCTCTTTTTGGTAAAGTAGTACAGGCTCTGATCAACCCTGAATTGGTTAGGCATCTCACCTCACAGGGACTTTTTTTTCAGATAAGTAATATGCCTTTCACGTTTCTAGGTCAACCGCTGATGTGTGAACGGGTATTGCCGAATGAATCTGTCAAGCTTTAGATAAAAATGGTGAAGCTCTAGTTGTTGCTTTGGATACCTCGAAGACACTTGACAGGGTTTGGCATATTGGTCTTCTTCACAAGTTGGAAAGGTCATGGTATTTCTGGAAATGATCTCTGAAAATAATCCTTGAAATAATTGTCTTTGTTATCGAAGTGCAAAATGAAAGTGGTTTCGAATGGCCACTCTTCTAGATCGTTTTGCATGAATGCAGGCGCCCCCAAATCATAGCCCCATCCTTAGACTTTCCCGTTCTCATCAGTTCTCTACTGAGAAGGTATTTATGTTGATTAGACAAATATTTACGACTGTCTCACTTGTCAGTCTGATCGGTTCGATAAGGTCAAATTGGCAGTTAATCTAAGTTATCATTCTGTTGTTAACTGGGGCAAAGAATGGCTTGTTAATTTTAAGAAATGAAACTGCTCTCTTTTAATCGGCTGATGCTAACCTTCAGAGGAGTGGTTCATTGCACCTTCACCGACTAATGTTTTCCGCTGATGTAAAGTGGAAAGATTATATTGAATTAATTACTAGGTCTGCTGCTAGGAGATTTGCTTCCTTGTGTCGTACAAGACAATTTTTCTGGCCATTATCTGTCTTGCAGAAGTTCACAGTTCGTCCATGTTTTGAATACTGGTCTGGTACTGCTGCTATATATTTAGAGATTCTCGATAAAATACAAAGAAGATTCATGACCTAGCATATTGCCTTAATATATCTCCTATGTGTCTTTTCTATGAATACTTTCATGGCAATTGTTCTGATGAAGTTTCCTCTATGGTACCACGACTTCATGAATTTAAGCGCAGTACTAGATTGGCAGCTAGGTCTCGTCATTTTACAGTTGAAATGGCTATCGCTAGCCGTAAGTTCTATGTTAATAGTTTCTTCAATTGTACTTCTCACTTATGGAACTCTCTTCCGGCTTCTTGCTTCTCCGTCAAAAATGCAAATGCAGTGTTAATTGTTATCTCTTATTCTTGTTCTTTTATTGTCCTCTCTCCTCGGGAGTAGTTTTTCTCATATTCTCTAACACTCAGTAACCACTTGCGTCCATGTGGATTTATTCCAATGTTTGGGGTGATATGAT